AGAATCAATCCGCACCATCCTACATGAGAACCTCGGCCTCAGAAACGTTTGCGCTCCCTGAGTGACCCATCAGCTCAATGCTTACCAGAAAGCAGTTCGGGTGAATTGGTGCGGCACCGTGCGTGCCAGATTTGATGGCTCACTTCCCAATGCTGTTTGGGAAATCCTCAATGGTGATGAAACGTGGGTATACAGTTTCGACCCAGAGACCAAGCAACAATCTACTCAGTGGACGGTCGTTGTTGTGGCGCCGACTCAGAAATTCCGGCGTGGGCGCGGTGTTGCCAAGCAGATTCTGGCTGTGTCCGTGGCCTAGATCGATCATTCGGCTCTGTACCGCTTGTACGGCGACCCTCAGTCACCGTAGACTGCTATGCCACCCACCAAGTACTAGAAGCTGTGGCCAGGCGTCGTCCAAGGACACAGGCTCGAAGGACCTTGCTACATCATGAGAGCGCACCTGCTCACAGATCCCACGTCTTCGTAGATTTTCTGGCTAGTGCAAGCATTCAGGAGGTTGCTCACCTACATTACACTCCATACCTGGCTGTGTGTGACTGTTTTTTGTTCCCAGTGGTCAAGCGCGTGGAATCCGCCACAAATCTCCGGAAGCTTCATTAGAGGTCTTTATTTAGCTGCTTAAAGCGTTACCCGCTTCGGCATAGTCTAGTTGCTTCCGCAAATGGGTTGAGCGCATATGGCTGTACATGAACGCTGCTGAGGATTACTTTGAGAAAATTTAATGCTTATTTTGTTGTTAAAATTATAAGTGTTTATGTCTTCGGAAACTTATTGCTCTACACTTGTATGTCCGTCAACCTACTCTTATGGAGCATATTCAGCTACAACTTGCTTTGCCGTATGTGTCTCGAATACTAGTATCTAGCGATGTTTCACAGGGTACGTGCCAAAAACGAAACCGTAAGGCAAATGGAGACAACTGGACCCAACGTATATGGAACAGGCTACAAGGAATGGAGGACAAATCAGAAGCGTCGCGGGCGACTCACCGAGCAGAGAGGTGATGTACAGTCAGTAAAACAAATGAACAGTCGGAAGATACAAAGACCAATAAAATCCGGTGTTATGAAATGCTGAAAGAGTACATGTTTTGGGTTCACTACAGCTTACGAGTAAACAATCGATTTGACTCCCCTGTGACCTGACTCGGCCCCTACCTAGGCGACTCTTATTGTGTTTGCTGACACAAGAGGCTTTGAGCTCTAGTGGGCGCCCCGCTGCTTGGAAATGCAGTGCTTTACTCCCCATAAATGGACTATCTTAGTCTCCATTTTAAATAAATGAGTACAAACGTAAATAAAATATTTATCGACAGCGCGAGAGGCAGTCAGGCTAAGTGATGTAACCAATTTGTACAACAGAATCTCATAAAGCAGATGGTTGTACGAATAATTTGTGTCAGTCCCAAAACGAGTTTACGAAGTGAACTATCAGTTAAATGTGCCAGAAAGACCAAGAAATTGACAGGAATAGTAGTTATGGACCTATCCATGCGATTAAGTGAAGCACTATGATCATCCGTAGAACCGTCTCCAGGGGGCTTGCTTTCATCAAGGGTAATTGCTCAGAAGATTTCACCCGCACTTCCATGGTACATCTGAACATGTGCCGGTGGGGCTTACAAACAAGTAAGCCATCACTCACCTGCAAAATGGGCATTCCACTCATCCGGCCTGTTCCGATGTCCAACTCTGACCAATCCGAAACTAATATTACTCGTTAGTGTGTTTATGGCAGTTCGTCTTGCATGGGTATGCGGATTAGCTATGAGGTTTCGATCCGTCACCTCAATAAATCGGCCCACTCATGAAGAAAAATGAAGCAGGAATGTGGAATACAGCAACAATGGTAATAAACAATGACATATTCTTAAGGCTTTCATCCTAGTAGTTTACAAACTACATAGCATATATTTCTTTACAGTACGAGGCAATCGTCAAGTGACTACTTGAATTAATCGATAGGCCCACTTTTCTGCGTATCTACATCACTTATGATGCTTAACTCGCCTGGTGTGTAATTACGCGTAACTACAGGGACCAGGGGGTTTACATGCCTCCGTCGTCATTGTGAGGGTTAGCTGTCAGGTCTTAGCGTTGCTTTGCATCGATGCAATGCGTCCGATATACGTGTTAATAAGAAAATACGTGTCGTTGACCCTGAGTGCCTGCGAGGCATTGCTCACATTTGACGAGATGGCAGCTTGAGCGGTGCGACAATCCTTTGGTCAGCGTTCCGCGTCAGGCCTTCTTGTGCTGCACCAGATTGTGGCTTGAGCTCAGACCGCTTTCTTTGGCTGGGTTGCGCCTTCCGAGTGCCTATTGACCGCGTAAGTCCATTTTTTTATTCATAAACCTCTTCCTCCCGTCTGCTGACAGATAGACAGTACCATTGACCCCTCACGCCATTCAGGCTGATTTCACGTGTTCCACTCTGCGTCTGGCCCATAAACGTACGGGTCGTGGCCTGCAATCCGTGCTAACGTCGCGCTCGCTACACTGTCCTAACCAGACAGCTTACTTGAGTTGCGTGGGGTGCTGAGTTATCTATGGGGCGAGGTTGATGATGATATTGACAGTGAAAGCCATCCGGCTTATGTCGTATTACACTCCAACCCACTTTATTGCCGACCATCTGGATATTTCAAAGGTGAGCAATAAAGCGGGGTGGGCAATTAACCGATATTGCCATTTTTCCAAAAATGAAACAACCATTGAATTATGATACATTATATCGAATTGTAACGTGCTAAGAAAGATAAAATACATACTTGTAACTACAGCCTACAAAAAGTATAACGCATGGCATCTTACCTGGTTAGTGATAGAAACCGGCGCTACTGTATATTTTTGTTGAGAAAGCAATCCAACATCAGTTGTACATTATTTTGAGATGTTACTCCTGTTCGATTTTGCACTGATGAAGTCCAATTTGGACATGAAATTGTTGTCTAGCCTATGCAAAAGTCCGTAGATCATTTACGCAGTTCTTTACTCTCGAATGCGACACACGCTGATTGCTGTTACTCACTGAGGTATCCGTCGCGTCTTCTTCGCTGCCTTCTTTCTGTTTTAATCGCTTCTCAAAAATTTTACTGGAGAGTTCATCATCAACCGTTGTCAAATCTGAGATACATCCCACATCGTTGTCAATGGTGAAGAAATCTTCTGCAATATGACTGGGATTGTGCAAGTGCTGATCTCGACCTCAACGATAACGGCGTCATCGGAAATTACATCGGATGCCAGTCAACTGAAGCCAGCATGCTGAAAGCAAGCTTTTACTGTTGCACCGCTAACTTGTTTCCAACTTTTTGAAACGAACTGAATTCCATCGAACACAGAAATCTTGGCACTGACGTCCACCGCCGATGATGAGCCAGACAACACGTTGGCTTCCCTGTAATAAAGAATTCGGTCCGCAATTTCCTTTCTGTAACGGATTTTCTGATTCATAATCACATCTTGGTCCATGGGCTGAAAAATGCAGCTCGTATTTGCCGGCAAAAATGCCATTCGTATGTTTTTCAGACCTTCTACCCATGAATGCACTGTGCAATTACCTAAGAGCAATATAATTTTTCGGCCACTTTGGCCTAGCTTCTTGTCCTATTCGATGACTCATTCAGTGAAAAGTTATTTCGTTATCAACGCATTTTTCTCAGCTCTGCAAGTTACAGGACCTATGTCTACGTTCACGCCATTAAAAGATCTTGGTTTCTTACTTTTTCCAATCAAAGCTAGTTTTCTTTTATCCGTGCCTGACATTCGCGCAGCACAGGAGAATGATCCTGTCCATGGCTTTTTTCGATCCGCTTAGCTTTTCGACAGGAAGACCTGTTTCGTCTGCATTGCACATGTTGTCATCATCAAATACATTAAAAAATTTCGGGTAATCGATCTTTCAGCCAATTTGCACAGACTGCTCTGTCCACGGTACTCTTTTGCTATACGCACGTTTATCCACAATTTGATTTCTATTCTTGCATCTTTGCAACTGTCCTTCTGTGGAAGCAAAGGTTTTTCCAAGTCCTTCCCCGAATTCTCCTGCTTTTTGCTTCAGAAGCGGGCCTTAACTGTTTGGTTGCACTCACGAACCGATAACATCCAGTCTTTTAATGCAGTTTTAACTTCTTCATACTTTCCACATCGCTTTCCTTTCTGAGAGCCTGCAGTACCATGCAACAAATTCTGTCGAAATTCCTTTTCTCTGACAATCAACGACGAGAAATATGTAAATCACGCGGCAACTTGGCCTGCGATGTTCCTGGTGGATTAGTTTTGATGATGCCAAAACGTCCAATTTTGCTGCCAAGGCCCAATCCTTTCTGTTATTGCCCATACTTATGTGTAACCAATAAAATAAAAAATAATGTGTCAGCGCGCTTCGCTGCCGCACGACCACCACCAGTCTCGCGTGGGCTGAGTATACCGCGAGGACGCCCGCCCCTACGTGGATTCGAACCAATGACCTTGTAATTGCAAGCCAGACGTGCAGACCATTTGGCCACCCGCCGACTTTGCTCAATTCTCGAGTTTTGTATGGGGCCGAGAGTTTGCGCACAGCCATCTGTACATTTAACAGATAACTTTTTCTTATGTCAATAAGGCCGCCAACATCTTTTTGTTCTTGATTCGATCGGACTGATTAGCTGTGGGGTGGTCCTAGTAAAAGATAGTCGGAGCGGGGGCGTAAAATGGCCAAAGCGACAAGAGCACAGTCCAGGCAGCTGGCCGATTAAGCGGTGGAATGACCCCGGTAATAAGCAATTTGAGGGTGAACATTTTGTATGTTTTTGCGAAAAATTTTGTGTTTTGATAAACCTATGTTGCTTAGGATTCTCGTGGTGAGGTGTGTTCTCCCTTGGTTTTTGTGTCACGCATGATTGACCGAACTAGATTGTAATAGTCAGTGCTAACTGATGCTATCGGCCAACGTTCGTTCACTGGCGTTTTGTTTCTGCTTTGTCCATTTTGCAGGCCTTGGATGGCCCCCACCATTATCAAATCGCAAACCGTGGTGGCTTGTTAGTTGCCGTGCCGGCGGATACACTGTGGCCAGATGTTCTCCGCTTCAGCACGGATGAAGGTCATTGTTGGCACACTATACCTCTGCGCACTGGGGTTTGGAATACTGGTCCCACTGCAAACACTACCGTTACGGCCTCCGTCAACATTTACCAGACCACTACTCCAGTTCCCGGAACCGCTATTCCACCGACTCCGCCTTCCGTGGGCTTGACATCCAACTCCACCTCTGCAGCGGAACCTTGGATGATACGCAGTCGGTCCGATGAGACCGTCGTGTTCACCGGCCTCGTCACTGAGCCGGGTGGACGAGCAATGGCTGCCGCTGTCTATGGTTACGGTACAGTTAGCCAACGGTGGCGAGTCGCCGTGGTGGACTTTGTCACCAATGGGATGGTGACTAGAATGTGTAAGCTCAAGGGCACAATTTTTTCTCCTGTTTGAGCACTCTGTTCGGTTGGCCATGCGAAATTTCGATTTGTTCACAGCAACGTCGCTTTCCTTTGCGGTTGCCGTTTTGTTTTTAAACAATCACCTTTCTTTCATCTCCAGTTAGACGACGTTCAACATTGACAAACTGTCAACCAATTTTCCATAAGTACCGGCTAACTACCTGTCTTATTTTGGCGCACTGCTCTTCATCATGATTCGCTGTGCGTACTCAATGCATCAGTCTTCGTCCTGAGTTGATGCTGCGATTTCAAGGCATGAGAAATTGCTTTCACATGCTGCACATCTTAGGGAGATCCCATTCCGTGAGTCGGTTACGTAACCGATTAGGTCTGACGTCTCACTTGCCACCAGCCTTATTCATTCTTCTTTGGATTCGTTGAATGTTACATGTGTAAGCTACTATCAAGGGTCTATTCTGTTTGGCACAAGCACGCATGTTTCTCCGCAATATCGGATGCATCTACACTAAATTCTGTGCTTTTTCATTGTCCCGGGCTACTGTCACCTTAGGAAAACGTGATCCTGTCCAGAAAATGTCATGGTGCATATGTGGAGCTCTGCTTGGTCCTCTGTGCCTCAGGCTGCTTGCAACCGTTCACGGTTGCATTAATGCGGTAATCGTGAGACAAACGCACCAACCATGTTAACATATACTTATTAGATCGTCGTCTTCACCCATATGGAGAATCGCTTCTCACTGACTCCCTTCATTTCACATTCCAGATGGTTAAATGAAAGTGTCGACATTATTGCAGATCCGTTGGTTCCGAACTATGGGACACCGTGTTCGTCTCCCTAATAACAATCAACAATCGGTCAGCTGTACGCCCCAGCGGCGCTTTGGCTTCCGCGCGACCACCATCTGTCGCGTGTGGGCTGAGTATACCGCGAGTACTCCCGCGCCTAAGCGGATTCGAACCAGTGACCTTATGATTGCAAACCAGCCATGCAGACCACTCGGCCCTACATAGTTCCTCTACCTAGCTGTCATAAACGGGAAACTTCCCTTTCTGGTTTTATCCTACCACGCCAGTGGCTACTTCGGGTTATATTAGCAGCCACGCTAATTGAATCGTCGAAATAATGCACGTGCCTATCTTTAAATTTGTTGGAGCCTCACTCTGTTGTCTGTAGTGATTAGTGACCACAATATTGCAGCCTGTGTTATCAGACCTGACTCTATCGCATATAGTCACCGCCCCCCAGTGGCCTAACGTTGATCCCTTGTCTAGGCTGTTGTCAAATAGGCCCTTCATTTGTCTTTGAACTTGCTCCTATGTCATCGCGGCGACTGCACAATCTCCTGGGCATATGGATTATCTCGTGTCCGGTCGAAAAGTCTACCCTTCCTTTTGGAGTAACGTAATCACTATCCTCCGCGTTCACTTATCAATGTTCCCGCAACCCATTGTTTTATCCAAAAATTCATTAACTGGTTTTCTGTCTCTGATCAAGGGCTGGTGTTCACAATATCACTTCGTGCGATGTCGTTGTACGGAAACGAGTCCTGACCCGTTCCTCGGTTTGACATGCTTTGCTCGTCGACTTTGACTGAAGGCAGGACAATCACCCATGTGTAGTAGCAACACTAGGTTCGGTGCCTTGGGTTTCGGAGAATACGGAGCTTTCCTTTTGGTAGACATACATCGAATTGCCACTTAAACGTGGCCCGGTTACGTCCTACCCATGTTATATGAGGGTCTTCCGCACCGCACATTCATATTGCGTGATGGTCAGCCTACCAACAGAGGCAAATGTAAATCCATCTTTTCCATTCTAGATATCCTGCATTTTCTTGGTTCCTAATTTATAGCTGAAGGAGGCTGCTATCAGGGAACACTTGAACACATACTTTTACACCGAATCCATGAATATATATATATATATATATCATCAGTACATCAGCCACATGAATTGATGCTTCACTACCATGCAACCATGATTACCTAAGGAATAAAGAATAATAAGAGGGAGAGAAGCGGGACTTACCTGAAACCTAATGCCCAAAGCAAACATCCAGGGTCAACATGCCTGCACCTTGTCGACAACATACCGTCACAAACAGCTGGTTATCATGCAAAGATAAAGCGGCATCGACGAGACAGCTTTCTTGCGACATAATCAGCCATTACCCCGCAGATAACTCAGCACCAAACACACTTTAAACAGGCAATCCGACTTGGAGACGGTAGCAGACGTGCCACTGGTGTCGGCTGCGAGCCATGTCCTGTAAAGTCTCGAGCCAAGCACAAGGCGAGTCAGGTGGACTCCAGACCGGAAGACGAGACGGATCAACGGCACCCAGTTTGGTCGTCAGTGACTTCATTTCCGCTGCCAAGTCAACTTCTGTCCACCTCGAGCCTTGCGCCAACCTACACCTGGCAGACTAAACAAGGCGCTGCTAGGTAAGAGGTGACCAGGAATACGTAGCACGTGCCCGAGCCTACGCAACTTATTTGGTGCTATCTTTTGTTGTAATGATCACCACTGCCTAATACTCGCCTACGTACATCATCGTTACGGACACGCCTGTACCACCCGACAGCAGCAACGGTTCGCAGACAATGATGACCCAAAACTTGAAGGCGCCTCAGATCTTCAGGCGGAAGGACTAAATTTCACTCACATAAAGCATATATAAAACATCATCGGACACCAATCAATCAATGATGGCTCTGCCTTGGAGTTGCGAATGATGCCTACACCTGCTTGAGCCGTGAGCGCTGCATCGGCGTCTCCGGATTCGTGCAACCAATAGCGAGAGGACAAGCCGGACGTATATAGCTCAACATCCCCATTAGGTTTATTGATCCTAGTTTCGGACACACAACATTCCCCAATATCTAGTGTATCCAATATGCGTGCAAGCGCACCCTGTTGACCTATTTGTCTTAGAGTACAAACATTGAACGCCGCCAGAGAAACGGGACAGCATGACCTTATAAGGTAGACGTCCGATGTTTGTTGTGGGAAGGTGGCTGCACATGGTTCTACTCTTGTGGCACTTTTGATGCTGTCAATTAAGCTGGGAATTATAGAAAGAATGCTATTACTGTGGATCGGGATTGGAGTATAAGAAACAGGTGGCAAAGGAAGAAGGGAAGCGTCAGCAGTAGCATGTTTTCGCTTATCCGACCTGCTGTATGCAGTAGTTAAGGCGATCCTTGATATTCTGCGCGACGGCTGATGCAGGATGTAGTTTAATTTTGGAGAGATTGTCTTGGTTGTATGTGGGCTGAGATACTGCCAGATCGCTCCGATCTAGACAGGAGGACGATTAGGGTCTCAGACCAAATTTTTTGCCTCATAGGCCCATCCGCAAGGTAGTGTGGAGTTGGCAATGATTTAGTTTTACAGAAATAGTTGCCATGCTATTTCGAACCCCAAACCTTGAAAACCAGGAGACTGAGTTTGCTGACCTCTAACGATTCACCAATATGGTATGAGTAGCTCTCAAGCGGCCCGGAGATCCCACTTAGTATAGCTCAATGTGTAAAAGAAATACGAAAATCGTCGCACCACCTTAAGTTCCAGTCTCGTTGCAACGATCCGCGCCAACCTGTGATCAGTGCAACACTCAGCTAAACTCAGTACACGTGTCACGCGCACTGCACCGAAGTCACGATGACGTGCGTTGAAATAGTCGAGCAGGTGAGTGTGACCACTCCGTAGGTGCGTTCACATTGTTATTATCATTAAATATATATATATATATGTATGTATATACATATATATATACATATATATATATATATATATATATATTAAAGGTGCCCCTGCTGAGGCTGATGTTGCATTCTTGATGCTTCTTCACCGCAGTTGGGCTAAACCAACTTACACTTTAACTAGGTCTTTTTAATCTGGATAAATTTCATTCCGCTTTATTTAGTTTGTTCTGTCTCCCTGAACAATGTTCTATTAACTGGCCACGTTTCTTACACTAATAGCGCTTATCTTCGGTAATTTTGTTGCGTTTTGTAGCATTTTTAAGTAACTTGTGGACATTTCTTACTTATCACGGATTTGTTGTTAACCAACTTACTTCATGTGGTAATTTAGCGAAGAGTTATGCCACCGTATTTGTACGCATTGTTGGATTTATTTTATTTCAGCTTGTCGTTTGAAGTGAATGGCTGTTGTTTGATATCCCCGGTGTGGTTGCGCTTGATGTGTATGTTGACAAGGTGCCTACCTGTCTATTACCCACTCCATCGTTCCTACTGGCTCCAGGAGACAGTTGGTCGTTTCTGGAGGGGACGGGGTGCACGGTTCTTGTTGCCGTGCTAGGCTCAAAGAGCGGTTCCATGCACTCAGTGTGGAGCGGACTACGGTCCAGCCACCGCCTTGTGTGCGCTTGATTCCCCAAATACAGCGTGCTTGTGTTTGCCTGTGAATGAGTGTGGGCTGGCTCCGTTGATGAAACGTGGTTCCCATCCGCATGCCTCCCGGTCTTATTGCTTCGGGTTTACACTGGATATGTGGTGTGTGGTTGGAGCTGTGGGTGGTGCAGCGCAAACCATCCATGGTCCCTCTGTAGGCGCAGGTGTCCTGTGGCTTGCCACAGTGACAGGCAAATCCGAAACCGGATGCCGCCAACCATATATATTAAAGAGGATAGAGTTGTGCAAGGCGATGTCTCCCCGCCTTGGTGATGTCTAATCCATCGCCTCAGTGAGCTATCTTTGACACCACATCCGTAAGCAGGTGACGGCTGCTGGCGTGCAAACGATCGCTCATGCAAACTGTAATTGTCCCGATTGTTTTGATGACAATGGTTTGACCTCTGGCGCATTGGTGTCAGTGAAAAATATGGCGTTCGATGCGCATGTGGATGACTCTCTCAGTACAGCGAAAAGTAGTCTTTTTCGAAACGTTCGTCCGCGATTAACTCGAGAACTCTGTGGCATCAAAGATGCATGGTGGACGCCGAAGGCCAAGCAGATGGAATGCTACGCC